ACGGGATATGCCGCTGCGTAGCTCGTAGACAGCCTTACGGAGCTGTAATGCACCGCTATGCATCGCGCATTGTTCGTTGCATACGCCCGCTCTGAGCTCTCTGCTGTATTTTCTATTTCCGCTTATACTATTCACATATACGACTCTCTACGCCCTCGGATGCGAGTGGCCCATGTTAAATTAAACGTGCTGTGGGCCTCTTGGCTTGTAGGACTTTCTGAAACGCATCCGATGAGCTCTTTCATTTATTTTGTCTTACCTTAATGCTCAAGCACGTTTCTTTCTTTACGATCGCCTTCTATATGTTACAATTTAAGTCGCATATATATAGCCATATTTTTCCCTCGTTATTTATATATCTGCAATTTTTTCGTATGGTGATATTTTTGTCACACTTATTTTTAATTTTCTTATCGCCGAAAAATTCCGTAGAATACTTCGCAACTTAGCTGCTAATTAAACTGCTAATTAAATTGCTAATTAAAATTATTGTTATTATTTTATCTATTTCTATCGCTTTGATTTATCTGTCTTTTGTTCTTAGCATGACGATTTTGTTCTCGATGTTATCGGCATGAAATATATAAATTATAGTTAGATACAACAGTATATCCTAATACTTTATCTAAAATGTCATGTGATTCTAATCTCTCGTTCAAATTAGTAAATGTAGAATATGTTATATAAATTAAATTTAGAATCACATTACCGTTTAGTTATCATCGAACAGAACGTATATTCCGTAAGTATATCTTTTCTATTTCTTATTAGAGAAATAATCAGATCAGCTATCATACAAAACCGATAGCGAAGAATTTGAACAATCGGTATTATTACAAGGTCGATTGTGATCCTCATTGGAAAAATATTGTATGAGTTTTTTATGAGAATTTTTCCAAAATAATTAACGCTTGAATACACATAAGTTTCAACGTGACTATATCGTTGATACTGAAATCTAAGCATTTCTGTGTAGCTTTTATCTATGATAATTTTCTTAATAGACTATCTATATTTCTTGTAGATTATCTATATTTTTGTATAAATTTTGCATAATTATATGTATTAGTTTAGCAAAAAATATATAGAAATATGTTAATTGTTAAATAATTAAGTAAATGCATTATAAGATATATGTGGATTGAAATCTAATTATTTCTTATCAAACGTAGATTGTAGACTTTATTTATGATAGCTTCCTGCATAGCTTGTAGACTTTATGATAACTTTTTTTATAAATTTTGTATTCTGGATAATTATATTAGTTTATCAGAAAATCTTGAAGTATGTTGATAATCAACTATTAAATAAACATTACAAGATATAGATTTAACCTGCATCGATTTATGTTCAAGGAGAAAACCAAGGTACGAAGATATTTAATGGACTGACTCTCTTCTTTGTTTCAATTTTTAATGAGTATATGATTGGAGACCGTGTTTGATTGTAAGTTCGGTTGTAGATCGGTAGTAAGGTATCGTTATTTTAACATATGGCTACATAAATGATGCCGGAACTTTTCCATTCGAATGCTGAAAGCAATTTGAAATAAAAATGTAACTTATTATCTTTTAATGCAGATGAGAGAAGAGACTATATTTCGTATAATAGTATATCGATTTCTCTGAGTAAAGGGCCATAATATGAGCTTATTTTACTATTGCTTCTGTATTGTTATGTTATATTGTTTCTATATGATATATTTCTTTAAAAGTTAGTAATCCAGTTTTTTTAATACAAAATTTTTGTTTCAAAATATTTATAAACAAAATTCAATATTCCGTAGACATAATATTTTCGAGTGTTCGTTAGACGCATTGCAAGGAAAATAAAAAAATACAACATAATCCAAATTGATACTGTATTACTAGATCGTTTTACTAGACTTTCTCGCGATCCCGAGGGAAAAGCATTTTTATTCGACTCGCGGGAATTTGCGACAAATCGTTGAAAAAGCAAAAACGAGATCTCGAGATCTTCAGCGGACAATGTACTCCGGCATTTGATCGTGAGACGCCTGTTACCGCACAGTTAGCCCCCTTCGTCCCTCTTCAACTTCCGCTTTACGCACGAGACCCTTTGGACCCACACTCGATCACAGATAAGACCCGAGAGACCGGTTCCATCCATTCGCTCGCTGCGTGCAACGTGAACTTGCGACGTTCAAAGTCCGTAACGATATTGAAATCTCGATTACGTGTTCTCTCGGTGTTTTTTTCTGCAACACTTTGATCTTCCACTATCATGCAGGGTATCTCACGGAATCATCCATTTTATCATAAAATCATAAATTTTATGACAAAAATTGTAAGGCAGTTAATGTTTTTTCTCCTATTTTTAAATTAAAATATGCGAGACATGAGATATAATAAATGAAAATTGCAGTTGATCGCAAAAATAAGGCTACATTTATAATTTAATTTCAATTTTGACATACTCTAATTTCATCTTTGATGAGATTTTATTTTTAAAGCGATCGCTAGTTTTTAAAACCTGTTTCTTACTTTCTTTAATTGAAAGAAATTGAAGAAATCTAATTGTTTATGTATCGATTATACGTATAGATTTCTATAAAATTTTTAAAAAGTGATTTAAAGACTAGACTTTAGACATCAATATCTTTGCCTTATTTCTCTATTTTTTTTCTACTTGTAAATTATACAATTACGAAGGTGCTATTTTTTCTTATACAACTCTTAATGTAGATTTAATTTCAAGTATTCCATATCGTCATGTATATAACATTATATTTCATTTCGTTATATATCTTATATTCCATATTTTATTTTTTAATGCTTTCACGATGATAATAAGTGCGTTTATTTGCTAATTGATATATAAGAAATGTTTACTCTTGGATCATGTAATAATTTTTTTTATTTCTTTTGCAATGCGTTTAATATTTATTAGAACATTCATGAACATGAACTTTGAACATCAATTAATTGCATATATTTTACACATATTAATAATAATGAGATATATGAAAATACATAATTATAATTAACATTTCAGATTACCGTGTCGCAAACCAACATAGAAGTAAAAGATTAATAATGATAAAACACAATGTCATTATATATGATAATGAACTAATTAACAGATTTTTCGAAATAAAGTTATCTTATCGATGTTTAATTTAATGGCGAAAAAATTATAAAGTATTTTACAAACTGACATCAACTATTATATAATAATATCAATCAAAGTTTGCGTCAGACCTACTTGTTATTTTAAGTTGAATCGCAGGAACGTGACATAACTCGTGTTTGCTTCTCGAATATAGTATCAAGTGCACTGCGTTATGCTGATACCGTCTGACTGCTATACGCACGATCAATATTAAGCAAAATTAGAAACTTGATTAATAACAATATTGTAGTGTGAAATAAGAAAGTAACTATTGATCTACCTAAGGAGAAAGAGATGGCATAAGTGCGTCACATAATAAAGTTCAGGGATGGTCGGTATATCGTGAATAGAGGATATGGCGCAATCAATAGTAGAATAAAAAGTATCGTAAATACGATATGGCGCAATCAATAAAATAAAAAAGAATCAACGGATATGCATGTCCATTGATCTAAATTGACTTCGTCCACAGATTGATATTTTATCGGAACTGGACTTGACTTTGCGAAACATGTAATCAAAATTGACTTGAAATTAACTTTTTGGATTTATGTCTCTTTCTCACGGATATAGGTAGATCTACTTTTGGCCGCGTTTTCAGTAGAACGTATGTTTTGCAACTATTGGAAATTTTTCTTTACTGAGATAGGACTATTTTTATAGATCTAAAAGTATAATTCAATCAGCGCGAAGAAAGTTTCCAATAGTTAAATATTTTGCGGAACACAGCCATTTATATATAATATTTCATAAAATGATCACTCTTTTATGCAGTATTAATATGAATCTTTCGTAACTATATAAATTGTTTGATAAATTAAGATGAAAAAAAAATAAAATGTTTCCTACAATTCACTAATTCTCTCTTACAACAGGCAACATAATCTTTTTTAAATATTTAAATAAGATTAATACTTAAACATATCTTATCATAAAAAAATACCGCTAACGTGTGAAATTTTATTAACGGACTGAAAATTAATAGCTAATATATATATGTCACACAAGGCATTAAAGGAGATGTAATTAAGCAACTTTTACATTTTTATACAAGAAATACTATATTTTCTAGGTTTGACAAGCGAAGTGGTATTCTGGCACCTTCCCTCCCATGCTAGAAAAGGCAAACTAATTAAATGATACGCTTTTCTAGTTCTTCGCTTCAGGAATACAATTACATTCTTATAATTGTTGATGCATAGTATAGATGTGTATGATTGAATTTGTATCCTATTGCTTCAATAGCTTGTTATCGTATCACTTATCGATCTTGAATAGATATGTCGTGTCTGTAAGAGCGCTTTTTTTTTCTACGCACGTAGCATGATAAGTGTTATGTTACTATATCTGTGATCACACTGCTACAAAATAGATAAATAGCGCTAATTCGTCAAAGTCCACGAAAGAATTAATCCTGATAATTAAATATTGCTTATCGATCGTTTATATATACAAGATAGTTTTTGATCGTTATTAATTCGAATTGTTTGCAAGACGCATGATTCCGACCGATAGCCTTTACTCTCACGCTTGAAAACTGCTTACTCGAGTAGATAATTCGCTTGCTACGGATAAGCAGAATGAGATATTGTAGTGTCCGATAAGACAATGTCGCGGGAATATAAATAACTAATATTCAAAATTTGTATCTTTCTACAAGAATTAAAGTACAATGAATTATATAAATTATACAATAATTACAATAATTTTTTTCTTTTGGAGGGATATGAAAATAAAATCTAAATTTATTTACTTCGAGTTTTGTATAATCTTTTTGCGTTCAAATTTCACAAGAGAAAAGAAACATGGAATAGTATTTTTTGTTAACAAGATGTCTACGAATATTGAATGATTTTTTTATTTAACAGAGAAATGGAAGGTTTCTGGATCTACGGCGCGATCCACGCGATCAAGGCTCTGTCGTACGTGTACGACTTGCTGACCTTCCCCGTGTATCTCATACTTCAGCGACCATGGGAGAAGCGTAAGGCCTCCAGGAGGATCAAGGCCCGTCCAATCTCCAAATATGATAACCAGATCACTTACAGAAGCGTCGATTCTCCCAAATCGATGCACATCATGCTCGAACGTGAAAAGGTTGATACTCTGGAAAAGGTACTTCTTTGCGTTGTCAAAATGTACGGCGATAAGAAGTGTCTTGGTACCAGACAAATCTTAGCAGAGGAAGATGAGCCTCAACCTAATGGCAGAATCTTTAAAAAGGTAATATTATATGTCTCAGACATTTAAATATAAATCCTTTAATATTTCATAATATGAAAAATTGTCATTTTTTATATTAAAAAATAAAAGTAAAAAAGAAAATTATAGAAAGAGAAGAATTTTTAAGACGAATTTCTCAACATGTCTGTATGCTCTCTTTACTTAACGTTAATATCGAAGAGACTAATTTTGTATCGTGAAATTCTATCTATTTTCCAGTATAAAATGGGAGAGTACAAATGGAAGTCATTTAGCGAAGTCGAAAAGTTGGCCTCTTCCTTCGGCCGAGGTTTAGTAGAACTCGGTATGAAGCCACGTAATAATATTGTTATCTTCGCCGAGACGAGAGCGGAATGGATGATAGCAGCACATGGATGTTTCAAACAGAATTTCACCGTGGTGACGATATACGCGACTTTAGGCGATGAGGCTATTGCTCATGGTATCAACGAAACCGAAGTAGATACTGTCATTACTAGCCATGAACTTCTGCCAAAATTCAAGCGTCTACTAAATATGATACCGGAAGTAAAGAAAATTATCTATATGGAAGATCAACTCAAACCGACTAGCACCAAAGGTTACAAGGTATATTTTTATTTAAATATTCAATATTAATTTTTAATACGAATTAACATTTAAATAGCTTTATAGATTAAATCGTAAGAGTATATATAATCTTTATTTAGACTTTTTTTAATGATTGTATTAATTATAATTACGTAATTGTATTAATGGAATAGTTATTTGTGAAAATTGATTAATAATTTTTAAATAATTGGTTATGCACGCCGCATGGATTTATTAGTATTATTTTTTTTTTTTAAACTTATTTTGCCTAATAGCTGTGGCATTGACTATGATTAACTGTCATATTATTACGTAATGGTTGATGTCACTACTGCCACTTATGATTAGTAGTCTTTACTTTCTTGGTTTTTTTTTTTTTTAGGTATTCTTTATTATTTGTTTTTGTTTTAGGATGGAGTGCAATTGTTACCCTTCGCCGATGTTATCAAAATGGGCAATAAGTCAACTGCGAGTGCTAACTCACCAAAAAATGGTGATACCGCTATAATCATGTATACGTCTGGTTCGACGGGAGTGCCGAAAGGTGTCCTTCTCTCTCACAAAAATATCATTAGCACTCTAAAAGCATTTTCCGATGCTGTAGAGATTAGATCAGACGACGTTTTTCTCGGTTTCTTGCCATTGGCCCATGTCTTCGAACTGTTGGCCGAAAGTGTATGTCTTTTAACTGGAGTGCCCATCGGTTATAGCTCACCGCTTACACTGATTGATTCGAGTAGTAAGATTCAGAGGGGATCGAAGGGTGATGCTTCTGTCCTACATCCAACTTGCTTAACTGCAGTACCGGTGAGTTTCAAATCTTTGCAGATCATTCAATTTCTTATTAATTTTTTTATTTGAAAAGAAAAAATGTTTATCTACTAATCACTAAGTTATTCAGAGCATCTTAAGTCTTTAAGTTTACAAATAAGAAAAAAAAAATTTTAATAAATGAAAAAATACATCAATATTTTTTTAAAACAAATTATCAAATTTTGTTTCTAATTTTAATACAATTTTTTAGATAGTACTGATACACAAATATAAAATTGTTTCAGCTTATTCTCGATCGAATTTCCAAAGGAATAAACGAAAAAGTGAAGAAATCTGGTCCATTTAGACAAGCTATTTTTAATTTTGCATATGAATACAAACTGAAATGGACGAAACGAGGCTATGAAACGCCTCTTTTCGACAAGTATATCTTCGGAGCCGCGAAGCAAGTACTTGGCGGTCGAGTTAGACTTGTGCTCTCTGGAGGCGCTCCGCTCAGCCCAGATACTCATAATCAAGTGAAACTTTGTCTATGCGTCACTGTAACTCAAGGATATGGACTCACAGAAACGACTTCTTGCGCAACCGTTATGGACAGTATGTATTTTTGAACCGGAATGCTTATTTGATGTTCCTGTTGTCACGACGTACATTTTTCTTTTAGCGTACGATAGAACTACCGGAAGAGTTGGAGCACCTACTACGGTTTGCGATATCCGGTTAGAGAATTGGGAGGAAGCTGGTTATCGAGTCAAAGATCATCCACATCCCAGAGGAGAAATCGTGATCGGTGGAGATATAGTTTCTGCGGGTTACTATAAATTGCCGGATAAAACGAAGGAAGACTTTTTCCAAGAGGATGGCAGACAATGGTTCCGAACAGGTGATATCGGCGAAATTCATGCAGATGGTTCTATCAAAATTATTGGTACGTCCCAAAAATTCTTTAATATTTTTAATATTCAATATCTTTTTGTTCTTATGAGAAATATATAATAATATTTATATTAGTTATTATTTTCGATATCTCTGATGATGAATGTTTATTTACGTAGATCGAAAGAAGGACTTGGTTAAATTACAACTCGGCGAGTACGTTTCTTTGGGTAAAGTTGAGGCCGAATTAAAGACTTGTCCTGTCGTAGAAAACGTATGTGTCTATGGCGATGCGAATAAAGCGTACACAGTGGCATTGGTTGTACCTAACCAGCATTATTTAGAAGAAATTGCTAGTAATTTAGGCATATTTGGAAAGAATCTCGAGGAACTTTGTAACAATCCACAGATCGAGAAAGCGGTACTTCAAGAACTTGTTGAGCAAGCGAGGAAATGTATGTTTCTGTATATTCTTTATTATTTTTAATTGTTATTTTGTTATCATCAATCGATAAATTGATTATTATTCAACTATCTTTATCGTTTAGGTAAGCTCCAAAGGTTTGAAATACCCGGTGCGGTGAAGTTGTGTGCAGAACAATGGTCACCCGATATGGGTCTGGTCACTGCGGCATTCAAACTCAAGAGGAAAGTTCCGCCATAGGATGCACTAAATGTTGCGTATAATGGGGATTTAAATCTAAGAAATTACCTTGTCCAACAGACGGTACCTCGATAATTCATAGATACATGTAAAATTGTCATAAACTTACATTTTACACTGGTCACGGGACACGTGCCAAGCTCGTGGCAATCGCGTGTGCAATCGTAATGATAATCAAAAGATCTCTGCATTCTTCGAGTGATTTTCTCGATTCTGTCATCTGATTAATGATCCGCTGACGTTTGATCAAATTGTCATTAATTCATTTAATTAAGCCGAGAAGTTTATTTGTAGAACGCCGAGACTTTTTGATCTAAAAATGAAAGTATCGCTTTTTTAAGGCATTTTTTCATTAGGTCTTCCGAGTGCGATAAATTTTTTGCAATTTTACATCGATATCGATTGTTATATACAAATCGAGTATTCGATTTCGTGATATAAAACCGACGGATTTCTTATGTATCACTTTCCGTATTCACTTTACGTACGCATTATCAATGATAAATGGACATCATAAAGTTATACCACAGTGCGATATTGGAAAAAATAAGACGATTTTCCGCTAGGAAAGTTATCGTCCTATTCCCTCTACTTTTCGATAATTTTTCATTATGTCAATCGATTCATCGCGCATGTATTTCAGTAGTGCACCTATCTAATTGTTGGTGTTAATGGGCCAGTTACGATATCTTTGCGAACGAGCTGGTTTCAGCACAACTCGTATGGTGTACTTATTTTGAGTGTCATTCAAAATTCGTTCGGTTTTTAGAGGGGACGGAATGTTTAAAAAGGATCTTTCCGAAGAGTCTTTCGTTTTCTTACGAATAATATATCATGTACATATAGAAAAGAAACGAAAAAATAAGGCTGTTCGTGTTCGGCACGTATAGATCAATTTCAATAAGGAAATTTTAATAATATATTGTGTAAATTAAAATTTCTCTCTCATCGATACTACCACTTAACATTATACTCTTATACCGTCTGTCTAGTAATTTGTCGACGTACTCTGCCTACTTTTCGAAATATTAATTCAAGCATCACAATACTTCTCCCAGCAACAGAGAGAATATTTTTGTGTATATGTGTATGTGCGAGTGTATGTATGCGAGGGTGTTTGATTTTCATTGTTGTATGCTTGTATGCACATATATGTCTATAAGGAAAAGATTAGGAAGTAAAACGTATGTGAGCTTATAAAAAAAATCATGTTTTACAAATATAACTGTTCTATACTGTTAATTTTCCGCGCGCGTGTCTCTCTCTGGCGGTTCGAGTCATACGACTGAATTTATGTATATTTCAAAACAGAACTATTTAAAATATTTTAAGGCTAATATCTTGAAATATATCTTGCTTCTTCATTTGTTTGAATAAACGAAATTTTGCTACGACAGGAAATCAATTTTCAAAATTTTTTACATAATTTATATATTTTGTTAATACTGTATGTTTCTTAAATATAATTGATATATAATGTAATATGTATATATATATATACATTATATATATATGTGTGTATGTATGTATGTATTATACCGATTGTATTTTTGTATTTACATATTCGTGCAATTCCGGCATATAAATACGAGCCGACAGAGAAAACAGCGCAGTGTCCGGGAAACTTGTACATTTTGCCACATAAAATGCGCGATGTATAGCAATTATGTTTAATATGTGCGTTCACACAGACACAAAAGCTTCATATTTTTCTTCTGTTTTGTTTCACGAGAATGAAAATAGCGGGAGCTAATATCAGTAATAATCAAGTGAGAACATGAAACGAACACTCATGAGAGTTAATGATCAGAGGCAGCTCATCTTTCTTTTTTATTCACCATAAGAGTTCCTGCGATAGCTAAGTGTATGAGAGCTGGTACTAATCTTTATTAATTATTAAGCGCTGTACATTACTTAAGTAGGCATGATCAATTGTTTGGTGTTATGACATCAAAGATATAATTATTATTAATATGGTTATTAGCAATTATCGTTATTTGAAAATAATTTGCAAAATAAATGTACAAAGGTGTATATCACTGACTTAAACGTCATTGTGAAATTTTTTTATTATCACTTATTCCATTTCCCAGATATGAGCTACGATTTTTACATTCCTAATAATTAAAAAAAACCAATAAATTTTTTTGTTCCCTTTCCCTCCCTATCGTTACATATGTCTCAGTAAATTCTCAGTTCAATTTGCAGAAAGACTACGCTTAAAGACCACGAGCCTTTTAACAGTCGTCATTAATCGAAATATCAATCTGTTTAATTAATAAAATGTGCAGGGAAGAAAATATACAACATGAGAATTGAGTACGTTATAATAATTTATTCATTACAAATAAAGAAGTCATTAATACATTGATCTATCAAGTTGGTCATTTGCAGTAGTAATATATATGGAATATCATCTTTCTACTTTCTATGGATGTATAATAGGTGTATAAACTATCAAGTGTATACGATTGTGTGCGTAGTGCTGCGCGTTTTAAGTACACTCTCTATTAAAATCTGTAAAATATACATTTACATACACATATACATGACTATACATAAACTGCGCGCCACTAATGCGGAACGAGTTCTCTCGGCAATTATAAAATACAAACATACATGTATGTACGTCTAAAGTTCACGAGACAGTGAATCGCGAGAAACATTCATCTTCTTTACGTGCGAGGTCACCGGTCATCAAGACAGTTCGAATTAATGATTTCGCCAATGACAATTGGATCTTCCTCATTCTCTCGAATGATTAAACGCGAAATAGAGACTACTTGTTATTCATAACGCGTACTTTATACGATGATTGTGACCAACTTTTCATTTTGTTGAAGTAAATATATATATATATATATAAAGCTTGCTTTAAAATAAATAACGAGTCGTAAGCTTATATTATTATAGATTGTAATATAATAATTGCAACTTTAAGAGAATAATTTATTAATATACACATTTTTACATGTATAGGAGCGCCTACGATAAATTTCAAATCGATCTTTATAAGATCGTTATTGCTTTTAATTGAACAGAATTTGTACATTGATTATATCGCGTAATACTATTTATATGTCAACTACGACTGACAAAAATAATTGTTATTAATAACATTCTTTTTTTAATATGCGAAGGTAAACTGTAGATATAAATTGTGCGTCATGTATTTTTATAGATGAAAGAAATTATTATGCATTTAGAGAAGCGTAATTTTTTTTATTTTTATTATCTTTTGACAACCGGCCTCTTCGCACTTATCAAATTCTTTTTACGATATCTACACAACATTTTTTTAGTCACATCACAACAATATAATTTTCTAACATAAAGTTTCCCAAAACTGTTGGCCACGAAATATTTTTAAAATTATGTTATATTTATTTAATACACATTTTTTACACGTATAAGAACATCTAAATTTATGTATAGATAAATTTGCAATCGATCTTTAGAAGACCGTAATTTGCCTTTAATTTTTAACAGTAAGATATCTTGTTACACAGAACTCTGTGACTTCAATTTCGTGGAGAACATGCTTTGGAAAGAAAACCCGTTCTAACAGCACAAGTATCTTTTACTTTATAGTGAGCTCCTCTAAAGGTCGATATCTTTTTAAATTGAGGCCCGAGTTTAATCTCAGTTCTTCAGAAGTACATTCTAGACTTTGGTCAAGATTCTTACGTTATATGGAATTAATCGTAGACTCCGGATTACATAGGTAAGTAACCCGTTAATTACGTAGAAGTGCACAGACGAAATTACCTAATGAGAGTACAATTTACGCGATAGAGATAGTCGTTTGGACGTATTACAGCGCTCGTGAGCAAACGCTTAGCCTGAGATAAACTACGTGTTCGAAGTCACTTTCGATCCCTGGCGCTCGTTTCAATTAAAAATATTTTCTTACGACAAACACACTTCGTGATCATTCAATTGATCATATCGTGAGATCTCGTTGAATAATGCGATTTGCATTTTCCGCGAAAGTATTTAGGTGAAAATTGCGTCTTTCAATATCATCAAATATACTTTGTTTAAAGAAGGAGATGCTATGTGCTTTCAGGATTTCCAGTAAAATTTATAGCTTAAATCGTATTAAAGGATAGTGATTTTAAACCGTAAATTATTGGCGTTAGGAAATTAACCTTTTTCAATGAAACGTGTCTCTGTAACAGTTCGTAATAATTCGTTTTTCTTTTAAATAATAAACATTTGTTTCGATATTAATTTCCCGGAGCTGACGTCAAGATCTGTAATAGTTAACTGATATTGGATCTATGAGATTCATTTAATATACGTTAATTAAAAGGAAATTAATTAAAAAACAATAATTAATTTTAAGAAATTAATTTCAGAAATAATGTAGATTATATAAAAGAATGAACGAATACTAAGTTTACTTTAATAAAATAATTCAAATTTGCAAATGTAATGTAAAGAATATAATTGAGCGGATTCAACAGACCCACGTTATTTCCATTAAAGAAAAAGTTATACGAAACGTAATTGAAACTTTTAATAGCATAATTAAAATTGTTCAGAAATTATTCGCATTGCGTAGACCGGAATACATTTCGTAGAAAATATCGTATGTTTGACGAAAATATATGATGCTTGGGATTAACGTCAGCTGCAAGAGGCGACCCAATAATATGAAATGTTATCAAAGTATCGATCGAAGCAGGAAAGCGTGTAGACGAACGATCTCTAAAGAAGTTAAACGATTTTTCCCCAGCTGATACCGCAAAGGAAGCAGGAAATACGAGATTGAAACTCTATCGCGATCTACGGCATCGTAATCACGTTGCGATATAAATGAATATCGAAGTTTCGTAGATAACAAAGTTAATTAACGTAAACGACGTAAAAGAATTATCCAGCTTCAGAATTATTCAGTTCACGATTTTATCGCTTGCCAATAATGCAGAGCTGCATTTAGAATTGCGTGATCAAGAGGAAGGTATAAAGATTCCTTTAATGATCATTAATAATAT